AAGAGTGTATCAAATTATGCACCGAACACTGTTGCTTCTTACAGCTTTATTTTTATCTATTGGTGTTGTTTCATTAACTATGCATCGTGGTGCGCTTGGTTCTTTTTCAGCTTCCCTGTAACACCTCTCAGTTTCATAGAGATGACAGAACTTTGTCAATAAATCAAACATTTTGACCTAAAATAAAACATATACATATCGAATAGAGTAGAAGCTCGAGAGAGTTAATAGGCGAAGCTCAATTCCACGTGTGCTTGATTTCTTGACGCTCTTTATTCTTCACGTGGCGCAATCGTATAAGATAATTATTTTGATATTCCTGAATGGTATCTTGAAGAATAAAGATCGAAGAACACTTCTGATGAGACGCGCCTTTTTAGTCTTTTATCAAATATCTTTTTTCTTTCTCTATTACTGAATTTTTCGCTTCTGATTTAACGATTTATTTTTTGCTCGTAGGTTAATCTCCGTGGAGGAGGAACTACGTCGCGAGCAGCAGAAGATGTCGGCGGCGTTGTCGTACAAGCAGCGCGTGATTGACGCGCAGGAACAGCAAATAGCTGCCCTGGGTGCTGCAAATTCGCGTCTCATGTCGACGAACGCTAGCCTGCTTTCGGCGCTGAGTAAACAACGTTACAATACCAAGTCCCAGACCAGCAATGAGGCGGCACATCTGCTACAGAACATCGCCGACATCGGCGAGCTTAAAAGTTCATCGTGCTAAAGTGTGTTAGGCATGATAAGGAATCGTCTTCTTTAAGGAGCCTCGTGCTGCATCCATGTCATAAATGGTGTCCTTAATATTCATCTTCTCTGAATGATGACCTTGTAACGCCTCCATAAGATAATCGATTTATTACGATTTAAGAAATAAAAATTCCGAGAAAAGAACCAATCGTTAATTATTCCTGCAAACCAATGTTGTAATTCGAGAGAGGTGGTAAAAGGTTTTTTATTCAGAGAAACGCAAGAGGTGCATGATTTTTTCTTGGTTGCGATTCGTTGCATGAATTTCACTAGTCGTTTAATCGACGTTCGTTACCTCCCGATTCCGAGATCATGCGCCTGAAAATTTTAAACGTACAGCGCGAGTAGACAAACCCGGTGTCGATCTGAACTCGCAAAACTCGAGGATGCGGAGCATCGTACTGGAAAATAATAGATTACACATGAGAGAATGGCGCGCGAGAAATAGAGGCTATTTAGTGAGTAGGCAGACCGAGTTAGTAGACAACTTTCGTCGAATTTATATAATGTGACATAGCGTTAGGCTAGATTTATTTGTACGCGAGTAAGAAAAAAAATCTACGACTCGCCCGAGGTCCGATCATGGAAATCGCCCTGATTACTTAAATGATGATCGACTCGTGTTAGAGCTGACCAGTGAAATGAATATTCATAACCGTATGTCTCCCAATAGCGACTTTGCTTCGTTCGGTACGAACGAAATGAAAGTGGCAACGAGACAAATTTTGATTTTATTAAAATTGAGGAATCTCGATCAGCAGCGAAAAGCGAATCCTATGCGCCATTTATATTGATCCAATATAAATTATTTCGAACCTGTCTAATTATCATATTCATATGGATAGAAATGGAATCAGTGAATAGTACATTTGATATAAATTCAAATTCATCAAACATATCTTCATTTTTATTTATCCGAATCATTTAATTTCTGAAATACTCAAGATGATCAAGAGTTTTATCAATTCTAGTTTGTTATGATTATATCAAGTAGTTTGCTATATTGCTCGCATGACGAAAGATCGATGACCGATTGGATCGTCCAATTAAGGATCGTTTCGTCCAGCAGTGAGCATTCAGACAGCGCATAAAGAAGCCCCGAATCGATGAATTGCATATATGTTTCCCTTGTTTCTACTATCATATCTACGCACAGCCACATGCACCGTAACAGTTTATCGTATGATATCTGAGGACTATAATATCAATGTTCGCGCCACATCACGACGTAGGAGCAGCATCCTCGAGCACCGGATCGTATTGCAGGACCTCGTATATATGTACACATATATATATATAGGCGTGTCTATTTTTCTAGTTTGTTCCCCGAGTGCACGGTCCCTCATGGCCGTAAGATGGCGATTTTCATTTTTGCGCGCAACTTTTAATCGCGAAGCCTGCGCTGCGTTTCCTTGAAACGAATCTGGCTGAATAACTCGCGCGACTTTTCTTGAGACCAGCGAATATCGAGTGAGGAACGGAACAAACTTACCAAAAGACCAAAAGACGAGAGTCCCTCGAGAAAGCGCGGCAAGTGAACTTCCAAAGCGACGTTTCGCGCCCGTCTTCGAATTTTTTTTTATCTCGACGAGCCGCGAGCAAATCATGATTACCTTTGATTCAGCATGACCCTTTATTCTAAGCGACGATATTTATTTAGTAATGTCTACCAAAGATGAAGAATTTTGCATTGTAAAGAGAGTATTGAGAATTATGTAAGATATTTGGTTTTCTTCTATCTTTCCTTTTAACTTTTACCGTTCCCGATGAAGGTGATGATGAATTATCGCCGTGCACGGAACCGACGTAATCGGGAACGGTACTCGAGTTCGAGAAAAAACGGTGTGCATCGGCACGTAACGAAATTCAGAAATCATTTTTTCCGCTCGACATTGTCCACAGCAAAATTTTGGCACACCGAGCCACGCGTAAATTGTTCGTAACACCCCGCGCGCGCGCAAACAGTACATAATGCATGACAATTAATTAATTGATTAATTAGATTTTTTGAAGGTTTCGCTCGTTCGCAAAGCGTTAATATGTTATATTTTATATCACAATAACAATTATTATTGTAGCCATTGTCGTACAATGTATGTATGAAAGATTGAATGAAAAAGTGAGTGAGAGAACGGGAGAGAAAGGAGTAAATGGAAAAGAGTCCATAAAAGAGAATGAAAGAATACGAATGAGGATGGGAAAGAATGTGAGAAAAGATTATAATCAGTCTAATCTCGCTAAGAAAAAAAAAGTATTATCTCGTCAATTTTGTACCATAATGTTATTTTCGTCTATCCGAGCGTTTGAGTTTCTTGCCTAACGCCAATTACTTTTGTATAGAGATTATTTTTATCTTCCTACCCTTATGTCCCCTATCATTTCTTTTTATATCATCCTTTCTTCCATACTGCGAAAAATCATAATTGTATTTTCGCGGGACAATTGTCCTCATTTTAGAAGCCATTTTCTTCGACTCGTCGAGTGTTTACATCTCATAAAATTAATATATTAACTGCTGCCCCCTTTCTTCTTGTTGGACGATGTAATCGATAAATATCTATTTAAAGAATCACGTGTACATTATTAAGTTTTGGCATATTCGTTTCTGCAATAGACCACCTGTATTTAAGCATATAGCGACTATTACACTACATGAACAAATAAATACGATTAGATTACATATTATAAATCATCCCTTTTCTTTGATTCACCCGATTCCAACTTTATTCATGATTAATAATTTGTTGTTTCATCTGTTTACCATCACCTTCTATTTACAAACAAAACTCAGTAAGTATTAAAAATATTTTATATAATTACAATATGTAAAGATATCCTTATAAAAATAAATTCTTTAAATCAATTTTATTCATGTTAGACTTTTTTTTATTTAATAATGTCTAATAGAATAGGGATATTAACATCATTGCATCTACTTGCATTACGATTTATTATAATCTGAGAATAATACACTATAATCTGCAATGAATATTGCATAATATTGTCTATGTAATTTCGTATTAATTGGAAATATTATCCAATTATCATATTCATATCATAGTTTATCATACATTAGTGATGTATATCTAAGAAGTATAATTATTGGTACATTAAAATATGAAGATTTTGAGTAAAATTATCTTTTTAATTATATATTGATTATAATTATTATTATAGTTTAGTTTAAACCGTTTGAATATTATCAAATTTTCAAAATTAATTTCTTAGAAATACAAGTATAGAATAATCCGAAAATAGAAATACATTTGTATTATAATATATAATATTTATATATATATATATATATATAATTTTTCTCTCATCATATGAGCTTATTTACCTTCTTATGATAAATATATTTCTACAGAAAGATAATACTAACGATAAAAATTAACGAAAATAATTCTTTTTGCATCATATTAATAATTTAAGAATTTAAATCATGTTTAATTTCAAAACTTAACAAATATAAAAATATTATTGAAATATATTATCCTGAAATTTCGATCTAATATTAACTGACTTCCCATTATCGGATGCAAGATGGAGCCATAAGTCCAATGGAAGCTTGGAATTAAAAACTAACATAATAATTTGAGAATTAAATTAATTCAGTTTAATCATCCGAAATTAAGGCTATTTTTAATTGCCTTTGAAGTATTTCAATTTCAAAATGGACCATTTTTCCTATCGTCAATTATCTGTCAATTTCTTTCTTCCCAAATCTAACTATCTAAATGAAGTATTACACACACACACACACACATGCGCGGCAATACAGCTCGAGTAGACTTATCAAAAAAATTACTCATTCAAACGTATAAATCATAATCGCTAGTGATAGCGATCTATTCCGCTATCGTGATTTTTTTTTTTTCAATAGCCCATGACCCATAAAAGACCGCACAATCGCGAGTACATATTAATCGCATTAGCCGTAATCCTTCTGGATGCTTATCGCCGTGCAGTCAGCGTTCGCGATATTGCCGTGTAAACAGGCGGTCGACGAGCGATCATTGCCAGCCAATCAATCTAATCGAGATGAGCCTCGATAACGGCGTTTGGTCCTCGAAAAATCAATAACACGCAGCCCTCCGGCGTGCGAGCGCGAACGACGCCACGCGTCGATTTCCGCGAAGATTTCCAATGTAATCTCCCACGAATGAACGAATATGGAAATCGTCTCTAAAAATGTTCGGGGTCTTCCCTCCGTCCGGCGGTTTCACATTCGCCGCTGAATTGGCCAAGTTTTCTTTTTTTTTAGACGCTAACTTTGCGGCTAGTTTTTGGCATTTCGTTAAATATGCGAATAAAAATGAAATTTGGCACCTTCGTGAGATTTCAGTCTCAGGCTTGCACCGCGATCGATATTTTCGAGCAACAGATCGGCGAACTAATTTTCTGCCGAACGAGAGAAGAGTTCGAGGGCTCTGTTTGGCTAATCGCACCGAGCCCAGGATACTCACCACGATCGAATCTGCGTAATATATCGCCTGACACATGCGGTAAATATTGACGAGACTCGAAATAACAGTTTAATGATTTAAAACCACATATGATACAATATCTATTCTTAGATGATTAAAAAAAAATCACAGTCCTACACAGTCCTGCACGGAGAAACTAAATGATTAATGTCTTGCAATAAATTGACAGAATCCAGGAGAAATGAATTAAGCAATATCCTACAAGAAAAAAAAAACTGTCATTTTTATTACCACGTAGTGCAAAAAGGACGTAAATTTTTAAAAACAAAGGTTTTTTAAAAACTCGAAAGTTCGATCAATCGCATTCGATTGGAATTGTTGGTGATGTTTATCTTTACAAATTCGTATGTATACGAATAGAAATATACATTTCTTTTGCTTTATGTGTGCTAATAAAAATGACAGGCTTCTTTTACAGCGTAGCGTTTAATTCATTTTATTCCGTCCGCCCATTATAAAATATGTTGTCTTTAGTTTCAGCATTTTCCCGATTGTCACCATGCACGTTGTCATTATTCGCGCGATAATTTCAGACTTCCTAATGAGAGATTACAGTACAATGACCATATCGTGCAAGTTTCGCGCTCGAAAATACACTTTGTGACGACGCTTATACATCGCCCGAACGCCGGGCGTTAAATGCGTTATCCACATTCATTGGCTCATTACGTAAGTCAGATAATTGGATTTTATCGAACGCAAATTGCACTGAAACTCAGAAAATCGAAGAACCTCACGTACATCGCAGATCAGCCCGACGAGTCTAAGAGATAGTTACAAACGGAAATATTTGCAGATAATAATTGCAGATAACGTATTCGCGGAGAACGGAGTTGCAAGAATGATGACGTAGAGAAATGGCAATGGTGATTAACGCGTGCAGCATTGTGGAGTCATAACGCAACGTTATAAGGTAGGCGAGATGTTTAGTCACTGATATCAAGGACTCCCGACAGCTTAAGTCGCAATAATACATATTAATGCTCGCGTACCTAATTTTAGATATCTGCGATCGCGCAACGCTCACCATAATATCTGATGCAGCCTTAACCAGAAGGTGGCTGCTGAAACAGAAAATTCGCTTTTTTAGTTCTTCCCGAGTAACAAGTTCTTTTCCCTCTCCCTGTCTTTCACCGAACCAAAAGTCCAACTGTAAATTACTCGCAACGAATATAAAACAGGAAAAACACAGGATTTTAATATTTTTTTTTATTACTTTTTAATAATCAAAATATTTATTAATAATATTGATACGTAAAAAAAATCATCATGTCAATTTCTGTATGGTAACTTTACAATTTTTATATGGAATTTACTAGATTGTAATAAATTTTTATCCAACTTTTTCTGAAGCGTTTTTTCAACTTACTTAATTTATTTCGATGACATAACGTTCCACCGTTAATTTGTTGTCTTGTCTTTAATTTTATCGATACCAGCATCGATCCTCGCACGGGATGCTATCGTCTCGCCGCCAATGTTATCGTACCTCTTCATATCGATAGGAGCACCGGCGTACGAAGAATAATTTTTCTGCTCCATTTATGAAACATAAGCGTGGGGACTCTCGAGAGCGATTTCTACTACTCCTTGTTGTAAACCTGTTGAATAAGCACAGTCGCTGTAACGGAAATGCGCGCGCGTACGATACGTGCAAAAATAAATGTCTGAAAATAAAAGAGTTATGAGATAATAGAGACAATAGTGCTTGTTACAAATCGCCGCAATATAACCGTGACATAATGATTTACGATGATATATATATATATATATATATATATATATATATATATATATATATAATATAATC